CGGCCAAAACATTCGCCCACACATCAAATCTTACGAATATATGAAACGATAGTCAAAGGGTTTGAGAGGAAACAGCACACAGTAACGGCATTTCTTGACATATCTCAGGCATTTGATAAGGTATGGCATGACGGTCTTGTCTTTAAATTGATTAATTTCGGATTTACAAAATATTTAACCAGTATTGTAAAATCGTTTCTCTGTCACAGGACCTTCTCTGTTAAAATTAGTTCTTCCAAATCATCTGTACGACGAGTCAATGCAGGGGTTCCACAAGGTTCAATTTTGGGCCCTGTATTGTTCAATCTATACATGGCAGACATCCCTCTTCCAGAAGACGCCTCATTAGCTCTCTACGCCGACGACACTGCTATCCTGTGCCAGCATTCCGACATCCACGAGGCCACGTATTCCCTACAATACTCTGTGGATATTCTTATTGATTGGTTCTACAAGTGGAAATTTCGCCTAAATTCAACAAAATGTGAAACCAAAATATTCTCCTTGAAAAAACATACATTGCCACATGAAATTCAAATATATGGTAACTTTCTACCTTGGAACCCTGATGACCAGGCCATAAAATATCTTGGAGTATGGCTGGACAAAAAACTTAATTGGAACTACCACGTTAATAAAAAACTGTCCCAAGGTTATGCACGCCTTGCAAAGCTTTTCCCTTTAATCAATAGGAAATCTACTCTGAAGCCAGCTTGTACAGTTCTAATCTACAAATCAATAATTCGGCCCTTGATTACATATGCATCTCCTATCTGGGGATTAGCTATATCAAAAAACAAACTCTTCAAAATTCAAGTGATTCAAAACAAAATTCTAAGAATAGCGGTGAATGCTCCCTGGTTTGTTAGAAACAGGCATATACATGAAGAACTAGGAGTGGAGTCTATCTTGGCCGTTATTGAAAAAACCACCTCAAAATTTCTAAAATCTTTAAACGATGTTCCTGGTGCATTAACTTTTCATCTTGGTGAAGCAACTGAGAACAGGAGGCTACGTCGAAGGCTCCCTCAAGATCTATTGGATGAATGAAGCCTAAAGACGATTAAATTATTCTCTAAATTAATTATGTTACAGGGTGTACCAGAGGTTTGGGCGAACCCACGATGTTATTATGGTTAATTTCTTTTTAGTTTTGTTAACACTTCTGTGTATAATGTCTTACATTGAACCAGAAATAAATGCTGTAAAAAAAAAAACAACAGGATGACGCTATTTTGACCCGGTGGGGCACACGGGAGGGACTAAGGCTAATATATCTTGTAGTGTCAGCGTTCGCCGCTAGAACCGCTAAGTTGAAAAAATTTAATTTTTTTTTAATTTTTAGTTATAAAATTAACTTTTTAATTATAAAATATTGTTTTAAGATCATAAAATAAATTTTTAATTTTTAAAATAAAACTGTCATAACATAACCTAACCAACCAGACTTGCTGATAATTTAAAAACTGTATAAGATAAATATCTAATTAATGATTACTTATAATTTGTTATTAATTATAAAATTAGTTTTAAAATTTAGTATTATAAAATTAAACTGTCATAATCTAACCTAACCAACCAAACTTGCTGATATGAAAAATTTGTTGACAAAAAGTTAGTGCTACCAGCGGGATTCGAACACGGGACCTCCTAAACATCAAATCGAAACGCTACCAACTATGCCACGATCGCCGCTGAAAACACATCGTTTCGTTACGGTAATCGTGTTGCCTCAAGAGTAGTCATTAGCCACTAGAGATATGACGTCACTACACCTTTAGCCTTAGTCCCTCCCGTGTGCCCATTCCTTGCCTCTAATTTGACAAGTCCCACCAACCGATCACACGTCCAACCTTAACACGAAACTCTGAAACAAAATCAGTAAAAACAGGGTATTTACTCAGGGGAGGTATAGAAGAGGCTACGATGACAGCTGAGGGCTTCTTATTAGCTGAGGGCTTCTTATTAGCTGAGGGAACGCCATTAGGCGGTCGACACACGGGAAGACTGAAACCCAACTAAAGTTGAACCAACTGTTTTGTGACGCGATTACGGTTGCAGTTGCGTTGGTTACATCCGCACACGGGCGCGACTATAATTGAGTTGAGACAGTGAATGAGTTCTAATTTTGTTATAACGATACTGTGAAGGCCTACTGTGTATGGTGTGTGAAATGAGTAATAGAGATGAAAAAGACCTAGTGTTTTATAAACAATCAAGAAAGCGTAGAGTAGAAGGTGTTGGGTACATCCTTATGTTAAAACAAATATTTAATGTAGGCTCTTTGTAGCTGTTGCTGCATTACAAGAAACAGACGCAAAATTTCAGTCTATGTACAGGATGTCAAAAAGTGCTTACGAAGAGTTATCGCAGTTGGTATACCTGATCCTTGAAAAGCGCAATACAAATATGCGAAAAGTTGTTCAAACCAGGCGACTGAAATCACCTAGCAACCGGCAGGTCCGGTTGCTTTAAGCTGGGTTTTCCTAGACGCGGAGTCGGTCAGCGGAGAGCGGACAACGGAGAGCGGAATTGAAATTAACATGGCATTCCGCTCCGCTGCTAGGAAAACAGTAACATTAAATTACCTAAGACAAGCTGAGTCCGCTCTCCGTTGTCCGCTCTCCGCTGGCCGACTCCGCGTCTAGGAAAACCCAGCTTTAACGACTGATCGTCGACTGGTCCTCAACTGGTCGCATCGCAGTCGCACCGTGTGCACTGTCCCACCTAACTACATTGGTCGGGACGTAGGCGACTAGTTTGTCCAACTGGTTGCCGATTTCAGTTGGAAAACAGTCCTCCCGTGTGTCGACGGCCTTACCATAACAAAACGATCAATAGCCATTGGCTTCGGTGGTCTAATGGTTAGCATGCCGGGCTGATATACTGTAGATCCCGGGTTCGAATCCCGCCGGTGGCATTAACTTTTTGTCCAAGATTTTATTTATTTTCTGCAAGTTTGGTTGGTTTGGTTTGGTTATTACGGTTTAATTTTATTATTAAGTCATTATAAAATTTTAATTGATCAATTTCTAGTTTTATTTTATAAAGAGAATTATTTTTCCGCTTACTATAAACTTTTGTTATATTATTTCTTTATCAGCAAGTTTGGTTAGTGCGGTTAGGTTATGATAGTTTAATTTTATAATTAAAAATTAATAAAATTGAATTTTAGGCATTTATAATTTTATTTTATGAACAGAACTATTTTTGCGATTAGTAAACCTTCAAAGTGCTTTTTACTACAGCGCTGTTCACGGAGGAATTTTGAACTAAATGCCTCATTTGTACCTCCCCTAAGTCAGACCCTAAAAACAGTGGTACTTTTTTTGGTTATGGTTCACTTACAGTTACACTAGAAATCATAGACACTATGAGCCTCCAAATATGTAATTCTTAAAACACATGTCTCACTTACTCTACAGATCATAGTCTCTAAGAGCCTCGTAAATAATATTGAAGGTTCACTTGCACTACAGGCTCGTATACTGTACGAGCCTATCGAAAATATCAAATAAAAATTAAGAGGGTTTACTTACTCTACAGATCATAGTGCCTATGAGCCAAACAGTATGTTTTATCTATGGCCAAACGTATGCATTATTTTTTAATTCAGGGATAAGCTCGTATAGTATACGAGGCAAAATTCTGAATTAATATAAATTACAGGTATGTGCTCGTATACTATACGAGCATATTTCATGATTAATATTACAAAAACAGAAAACGGATCACTTACACAACAGTTCATTTAGCTACACATCACGCGGTTGCAGCGCATCGTTGTAGGCGTTTATGGTAAACCAATACCGCCGTTCTGCCGTTCTGCTTTACTTCTGCCGTTTACTAGTCGTGCAGCGTGAAAGAGAGCTTTAAATCGTGTAGCTAAATGAGCTGTAGTGTAAGTGAGCCATCTAATATTTTACCGCAGGCTCGTATAGTATACGAGCATATTCCTATAATTTATAATGAATCAGGATTTTGGCTAGTATACTATATGAGCCGATTCCTGAATTATAAATAATTAGTACGCTTGGCTCATAGTCACTATGATCTGTAGAGTAAGTGGACCTTCCTACTGTATTTTTTTAATATAAGACACGAGAGGCTCATAGGCACTATAATCTGTAGAGTAAGTCAACCCTCTTCATTTATTTTATATATTCGATAGGCTCGTATAGTATACTCAGTGGATTCAGCTAATGGTAATTTATGTATTTTTGAAGAACACGAAAGCTTGGTTGCTGGGCTATGAAAATATTGACTCCACTTTTTAAGTAAAAACATTGATTTTCAACTTAAATATTGTTTTTGTTTTCAGTTCTATATGTTTTATTTTCAATCTTTCAGTACATTTATGTTCATAAATTTTAATTTTAATGAATAATACGCGAAATAATGAGCTGGTGTCACCTGTCTGCCATGTTATCTTATGGGACTTCTGGCTCTAGACAACACCACTTGCGACGTTGCCAATCCTACTAGGCCGCGGCCTGTAGTTAAAGATGGCCGTGACTGTGATATGCAACAAAGTAACGGTTATTTTAAATAATAATAAAAAAAAATATTTTTGAAAATTTGCAAATGCTCATTGTTTAAAGTTTTTAAATAGCAACATATCAGAAAGATATTTTTAAATAGCCAAGTGGCACATCATTTTATAGTCTTTTTAAATCTTAATAACTTTGTAATTTACACTTACTTCGTATCTTTTTTTAGTTTTTGTTTAAATAACAAAACCCCTAATTATCCTATATCAAATGCATGTCATTTATTTGGGTTTGACGTTTAACACTAAATTAAATGGAGCCTTCAGTGTTAAACAAATAACATGTTCATAGAAAATCACATATCATACAAACACTGCAGCTTCATAGATAAACATATAACAGTGCAAATGTTATCTTAGAAAAAAGAGTAGGAGCCAAACCATCCAATGAGAACGAGGAACGAGCCATTTCATTTAGTTTTAAAACCTGACAAACCGTCAACACCCGCCGAACCGATTGAACCGAATGGCGAATACCGTTAAAGTTGAAGTTGAAAGATTTGTTTGAATGTGTTTTGTGCGGAAGTTTATTCCTACTGAACTCAGTAAATAAATAGGTTTAAAACCTAAAGTTATAACTAAAGTGAAACAGAAACATGGGTGATTACTGCAAATCGCCGAACCCGTAAGTTTTCTTTGTTTATTTCATCACCTTAAAAACGTTGACGAATTTATTGGAGGGAACAGAATGATGGTGTGAGTTCCCAACTCTGAATTACCAAACTTATTTATCACTATAATAAAAACATGTACATGGAAAGCCAATAGCCTATAATAGGCCAAGGCTATTTAAATTGCTGACAACCTTGATTTCAATTAAGGTAGTTGTTAGCTTGAGACACATTAATGGACTGGGCTGGGCTCAAGATCATGTAGAAACATGTATTATCAGGTTCAAACTAAATTAGCCTAAATCATGCATAGACCTGGTTAAAACAAGTAGGCTAAGAGCAACTATAGACATCCCAAGAACAAAACAACCTGCACAGAAACGAAAAGATCACGTGGTTCACGCCGGTAGATGTGGCGTACCATTCAAACCTGCGCGGCTCGAAATGGCCCAGGGTTCTTTTGTTTCTGGTATTACTATAATTAAAAGGCCCATGTCTGGTTTGGATTGGCTAGGCCTTGATTCCCACATAGAACTTGTGATATTTTTAAAGCTAGGCCTACCATTATCAGTAATCAAGCTATTAAACAGCTTAAATATCAATATTGTATATAGATTTTTATTTGGTTTGATAGGCCATATTGTTTTTTTTTACAACATTTGCCTCTTAGCACAAGTTAGGCCTAGGTCAGGTTAACTTAGTTAGGATCAGTGGGGAGTCCGAGGTCCTATCTTTAGTAATGTTAACTAAATGTCACTTTTCTCAGGAGTTAGAACAGGTAGGATAGTGAAACTTGGTACACTTTTATATTAAATAATTAACTAGTCACAGACACAAGATTTTTCATTTAAAATTAAAAATATAACTATTTTATGGGTTTTTATAGATTAAAAAAAAAATTGTTTCAAAAATAAAATTTATAATTTTTTTTACATGCTTCTACTAAAGATATGATGAATTCCTTATGTCTGTGTTTAGAATAAGTCACAAGACTACATGGTAAAAATTTCACAGCTGTATGTATTACCAGTCCTGAAAAAAATGACAAGTTTAAAAAAGTAAAGTTGCGGAAATCGGCAAGAAAAGCCTCCAAGGGTCTGCTAGTTTTACCTTTAAAACGTCACTAATGTTATGGAAAATATATTTTTTTATACATTTCTAGGTTAGTAGGCTAATAAAAAGTGTAAGTATAACTTACCATTTTTAAGAAGAAGGGTACACTTCCATATCTGTTGGCACAAACAACTGAACGAAAATATCGATCGATATATCGATTATTTGATATATCGTTTGGTTAGTTAGGTAAGGTTAACCTAACTAACCAAACGATATATAAAATTAAACAATCGAATAATCAATATTACTCATTCGGTTGTTTGTGCCAACAGATATGGAAGTGTACCCAAATTCTGTGCTAACTTATAAAAAGAACATAAAAAGTAAAAATTGAAAAAAATTAAAAAATTTCGACTTTGACTCCCCTTAACTTAGGGCTGCACTTTACTTTAGGTCCTACACTCATTCGAATGAAAATATCGATAATTTGATTGTTTCATTTGATATATTGTTTGGTTGGTTACCGGTAGGTTTGGTTAACCAACCAAACGATATATCGAATGAAACAATCGATATATCGATCGATATTTTCATTCGAATGAGTGTAGGACCTAAAGTAAAGTGCAGCCCTCAAAACATATACACTTTTTTAATATAGGCCTAAATGTTAGGCTACTGGTACCTTGTCTGTTATTATCATAAGCTAGGGTACCTATGTTAAACTAAGCCAAACTTACCTAACCCAACCGCCACAGAACAGTGTCCAAAAGATTCTTCTTAACAGGACCCTATTGCTTGAATTGTAGGTTTAACTTATGTTAAACTTATGATTGATTTTACCGTAGGCTAAACAATTCTCATAAGATGTTTTCCCATAGGTTTTTGTTTTGTTTTAGACAACAGTTTGACGAAATAAAAGAGACCATTGATGAAGTAGTACATAATTCTTTAAAAGATATTGTACAGGAGTGGGAAACTATTTATGGAACCAGCTCGAAGGGAGTTGTGAAAGAACTTACATCAGAACTTGCAAAATGTCTGGAGGTAAGTTTTAATTAAAACTCACCATAGCAAGCTGAAATTTGAGATCATTTTATTAATTTATGGCAATTAAGTTTTAAACAGGCCCACACAATCTGTGAGAATTGTTATACTTTGTAGGTTTTAATCTGTGTCATTCCAAAACAGTTTCATTCAAACATGTTTTTTTTTTCTTCAAATTAATTGTTTGATATAATAGTACATTATGTTACTAGTACTGAAAATATATGTGTTTACCGGACAAGTGCGGTCGTTCCCATGGGAGACGAAGTTGAGTGCGGGATTACCATACGAATACAACTCCGGTAAACACATTTTAGACAGTAAGTGACGTTCAATATTTTACGCCATAACTACTCTTAGCTAACTTAACAATAAAAAACCGGTACAAATTACTAGGTACCGACTACATTACGAACAATCACTACTCGAACCTCTAAGAGAGGTTATGTTTTTGTTTAAATAACCACTCATTGCCAAATATCAGCTGGTTGGTGTCTGGTAAAAACTCATTACAGTACAGTAGTATGTAATAACCCCATTTGATTAGCTGGCAGCAAACAGCTGTTTTCTGGACAAAATCCTTGCGTGGGAAGTTTGTGAAACCAGTTTAGTGTGGCGTAAAACTATACTACGATTGATTTCATAGGAATGAAAGCCAGTTAAGTGGAACAATCATGTTTCATGATTTTTAATACCCCAAAGCAATAAATGAAAAAAATGTTTATAAATATAATACAAAATACAAATGTTCCCACACTCTGCACTGCTAGCTTTTACTACTTCCTTCACAACTTCCTACGTCGTGGACTTGTTTCCCCCTTCCCATAGCATATTAGTATTTTAGATACAATTATCTAACTGCCACGCCATAAACGTTTCCCACACTTCACACTACTCGCCTTTACTACTAACTTCCTTCACCACTTCCTAAGTCGTGGACCTGTTTCTCTCCCTTCCCATAGCATTTTAGTATTTTAGGTACAAATGTCTAACTACCACGCCATAAACGTTTCCCACACTTCGCACTACTCGCCTTTACTACTTCCTTCACCACTTCCTATGTCGTGGACCTGTTTAAGTTTGCCATTTATGAGATAAATCCATGAGAATGTGATTCACCGACGAATTGTTTAAGATAAAATGTTATTGTTATAACCTTATTTAGCTAAATAAATAAATCTGTTGATGTACTTTAGAAAGTATGTTTTATCTATGACTGTACCTATTCGATCAGTGGTCGTTTCCAAATTACGACTTAAATGTAAATCTACGACTTTCTCTGTGGTATTCGATCAGTTGTCATCATGCAAATTTTGTTCCTTTGTACTGTGTTTAAGTCGTGGCTTGATTTTATTTAACATACACTATGATTCTTTGTTTATTTTACATTTACGTTGTTTTTTTGTAAAAATCATGGCATCCCATAAGACCAATGTTAAAATTTTAAAACTTTGAGTTAGCCTACCTACTTTAAAATTATATAGGCATTATAAAAAATTGAAATTGGTTACGTCTAAACCATCCAAACATTTGACAAAACAAACTTTGGTAAGTTTGGCTAAAATATGTTCAGCCGTTATTGAGATTAAGTGTTATAAATATTGCATTGAAGTTGATCCCAAAGAGCTTCGCTTAGTTCCACCATAGACAAAAAGGATTAGATATAGACCGTCAGCTGTGCTGCAGTTACCATAGGTCCAGGCGCACACCGCTGCTAGCGCTGTGTAGTTACGGCCTACGCGCCACGTAACTACACGGGCGCTCTCAGCGGTGTGTGCCAGAACCTATGGTAACCACTGCACGGCTGACAGTCTATATTTAATTCTTTTTGTCTATGGTTCCGTTTAATTAAGAGTTAGCTCATTCAACCATATGTTTTCAATTGGTTTTAGGACTTCTGGAAACAACAGTCTTTGAAGCTAAGCGATATAAGAAATGAATGTCTCAAGAATATTGAGGTCGTTGGGCAAGAAGCTGTTCGCCTGGAGAGAGTAAGTTTAAGTAACTTAACCACAAACTTTTTAGATTGAATTTGTTTCCTTTAACTCCTGATTAGCTAAGTGTACTTTTTCATGTCTTTGTAAATTATATTTGGAGATTGTAATACTTTGCAATGTTGCAATGAATTTAACACCATTTTTATGCTAGTTAGCACATAACATGATATGATAAAAACAGGTGGATGGAATGTCTAGAGTTGCAATGGTTCTATTTCAATATCTGCGAGTCCATATAGATGAGATATCCAATCCATATAGGTGAGATATACCTCTTATCCAAAGCCAATGGTATCTAATATTCAATGACTGCAAATGTCTTGTATTAACGTGGAGTTGTGCATCGTAGGTCCTGGGGCTGGAGCAGCGAGTATGCAGAGTGTCCAACAACATACCTCTGGTGCAGATGGAGGAGCAGCTTCAGTCTCTCCTTGACTCCTACCAGGAGCTGAAGAAGGAAACGCTCAAAGAGTATTTTCAACTTCAGACCAAGGTAAGTGCTCGTTCTTCAGCAAATGTGGCAAGTTGGTAGCACAGCAAATGCAGCAGGATGTCCTGGCTTCCACCACTAAATTCTATTAGTTTCACTCAAGCACTGTACTGGATTATCCCTTGTTTTGCTGGATACGTTCTACACACATGCTTGAGGGTTGTATGGACAAGCATTACAGGCTTAAAAGAGGCCACTAACTTTTTTGATAATGCGTGTTCATGAAATGATTGTGCAGTAGAGTCTAGATTAGCTGATCTAGCTATCCAACCTTCCGTTATCTGATCCTCCTTGTGATCGAGCACTAAGAGGTACATTGTGACAACCTGAAGTATATAGGTAGCTAAAATTAGGTGGGCGCTTCTGAGGGATAGCCAGTCATGGACTAAGATAAGTGGCTGTTTCCGCAAGTTTGGAAGGAAGACACATTTTCCTGAACACTGATTGTTTACTTCAGCTCAGCACTCTCTGTGCTACATCATCTGTTTCTGTTTTATATTCTCTCTCAATATGTCTACCGTTAAAAGTGTTTCTTGCAATATTGGTTCAACACTTCACAGGACAAGCATAAAATAAGTTATTCTTGCCTATTATAATGGAATGGTCTGATTTTGTAGTATGATTTTATTATGTAAATTCTGATTTGTATCAATTTGATGTGTGTTCTAAATTATATTACCGTAACCCATTAACCGTGCAAAAATGTGAATTGTCTTATTTATTTCCATTTGAATTCTATAGCCTAGTAGTCCCACACGAACCGCACAGGTTGTATAATGAGTCAAGTCTAACTTCAAAATAAGAATCGACTACCCCCTGCATAAGAATCTCATTTTCCTGTTGATAAATATGTAAGTTTAATCAAACTGACAATTTCATTGAAAAAATATAAAACAAAAATAGTACCCCGTTTTATCTGTTGTACAAAAATGTGCATAACTCTTGTCTTACACACTCCATTAATATTAGCACAACTGAGATCTGTAGCCAATGTTTCTTGGAATAAACTGTTCTCATTCATTCATCTTAGGCATCTTAACTTGATTGTACTTTTGAGTAAAAGACTTAATTAGGCTACTTAATAATTTTTAATCCTTAAAATGGTGCTATGTTTCAGGAAGCCGAGCTGTGTGCGATTTTGGACATGGAAACACCAAAGTCCAAGGTGGAACTACCTCATAGTGGAAGCCCTCAAATGGGCCACTATGTTCCCACTGCGAGTGATATGACAGAGTTCAAAAAGAGGATTCAAGACTTGGAACAGCTAAAGGTAAGTTGTATTATCATTTTAAAAGGATTTTTTTGAAAAGTAATAGAGTTTTAACTAGGGATGGACGAGATTGGATTTTTAGTTCGAGACGAGACGAGACGAGATTTTTTATTTCTCATAAAATTTCGAGACGAGATCGAGACGAGATTTCTCTTCTCATACACAACGGGAAATGCACGTTCGAAATTTTTACCTGATTTTGTAACATTGTTAGATGACTGTTTAAATACTAAAATAATGATAATAGGCAAGAATATTTACAATCTTTCATTAAATAACATCAGCATAACATTTTTTTATTAATCACGCCTAACTTATTAAAAATGCCTACGATTAGGAAACATGGTGATATCAGTTAGGATAGAGTTAAACTTATCCTAAAATAAAATAAATCATAAAATAAAAGCAATATTAATTTTTATAAAATAGTTACTTGTTTTGACTTTTTTTTATAGTAATAAAACATTCCTCACACTGCTTACACTTAACAAAACTTCTCAAATGTTATTAAAGTAATATTATTAAAATAATTAAAGTAATATTTACATTAAAAGAATTAAAGTAATATTTACATTAAAAGAATTAAAGTAATATTTACATTAAAAGAATTAATTAAATAAGAACGCCTTCGAAAAGGAAACGCAACTACAACACGCTCCTGTATTGCGGGTATTGCATTGACTTTCTGCAGGCGTTTTTAATTTTTTTTTTTATTCTCGGCTCGATAAAAATCTCGGCCAAAAAGTAATCTCGTCTCGTGTAACGAGATTGAAAATTTCCCGAAATTTCGAGACTTGACCATCCCTAGTTTTACCAGAGAGAATTAAAGTCCAAAGACTGATAGAAACACACTAAAAGAAAACATAAAACTGATATTTCGTCCTAGGACGCTAGGCACGAGCTCGGGGTTGTTTTCACATTATTTCAGGCTAGACCTAAGGGTTGCGGCATTATCACTTGGATAAAATCCATTGGTGATGTATTTGAACCCGCAAACTCAAATACCGAAGTCCCGTGCTAGACCAGCGTAGGTTGAAGAGATTTCACTCAGCGACCATTCTTCTACCTGCATTTGTATATACTGCTTTTGTTACAGGAACAACTTGAATATGACTTTGAGGAAGCAAAAGCTGAACTCCGTGAGGTCATGGAAGAATGTAACTTTGCTCCATTCAATCAAAGGGAGCTATTTGCATTTGGTCAAGCTCAGCTTGCTATGACAACCCAAAATTTGAAGATATTGCAGGTAATTTGGGTGTACAACTCTAAGAATAGAATATCAGTTTTGATGTTTGTTTGTTTTCACATCCAGTGCCTTTGAATCTGAAATCTGTCATCACTGGCTGATTGGTAGTAAGAATATATTTAGAAAATCCTAGGAGCCGTAAAATTTTAATTTCTGTGGATCCTAACATCTAGTAGTGTCTGTAAGAATACAAATTTATTATGTGTCTCCGTGTGTTTTGATGTTAGAGTAATTTCAGACAATATTATGCAATACTATCCAAAGTTTAAACCTAATTTAGATGATCTTTTCTAAGGATTCATATTGGCTTGATTGAGACTTGGATTGATTCACCAAGACATACAGTTGTGATGAACTTAAATGGCAATTAGACTATAGTAATATTTCGAGGATTTACATTTAACATACACAATGTCATTCACTTATAAAATGTGCTACGCATCCTTAAGTCCCTTTTCATGCCAAAAGCAAGTGTAACATAAATTAAAAAAAAAATTACTCCGCATGTCTGTGTTTCTATTTATATCTTGTAATGTCTGATTTTCAGAAATCTGTAGCAACGTATAGAAAGAAGAAGGATGATTTAATGGCAGAATCACAACGTCTTAGAGATCAAATCGACATTCTCTCTAAGAAGATGTTTAAAGACCACAGTGAAATAAGGGAATTCCTTTCTGAAAATAGTGGATTCACAGAAGCAGTGATTAATAGAGTATGTATGGTTGTTTTGTTACTTAGTAGACACATCATTGTCTTTTTTTAGAAAAATAAAAATATCAGTACAGTCCCACGAACTCAGTAGCTGATAATCAAACAGTCGAGATTTCTTGGTGATCCCATAAAATGTTAGCACATTTCCCTACGCCAGTGTTATTTACATCTCTGGGAGCGACTGTGTTGGCTAACTAAAGAATTTTGGAAAGCTCAATAATCAAACAGTAAATCGTCACTGTCATCTGGGCCTGACGATACTGAACATTACAGGATTTATGTCACTCATTCCTGATGACCAGAGCGAGCGACAGTCAGCATCATAACTTGCATTTTTGGTAAAATAAAAGTCAGGTACCTATATTATTGGAAAATTAAAGTTGATGTATTTCAATTATTTGTTGATTTTTTATTCAGTATCTGATGATGAAAAAGAAAAATTTACAATATCAAGTCTCAGTTTTTATTTTTGGTCCTTTTTCTCAGTAATACGGCATTCCTCAAACTCTGCAATCCTCAAATCTATATTAAAGCGGGTTTCTGGGACTATTCTGTAGATTGGAATTCAAACTATATATGCATTACCATTACCAATTTACTTTTCTTAAACGTAAACAAGATTTATGGATACTTTATTAATGCTAGTACCTACTTTAGTAACGTGTGACGTGTGTTTGGGACGAGCCCTCTGCACTCTAAAATGAAAATAAACATTACAAATTTTGGGCCTCATGGACTTTTCTTGCAGTTAATATCTTTCTTTTTACTTTGGCTTTCCTAAGTTAAGAGATTTTACTGTAACGGTCCTACACTGTCTTTAGCTCAACACACAGATTGGTATGGTGACATTCAGTGGAGGTTAAAAGAAAGTGAAAAAACAAAAATGAAAGCTGACACAATCATGAATCATCTACACCATGTGAATGTAGTAGTAGGCTTTATTCGGTGTTAAATGTATTATTTATATTCATTAAAGTAATGTAATGTAATTGACTGTTTGGTCGCAGCTGAAGGAGAAGTTGAAATCACTGAAGGATGAAAGGAAGAGCAACTTGAAGGAATTGATCGCCAACAGCCGGACAATGCTTACTGAACTGTGGAAAAAGTGAGTTTATATTGAAGCTGATGCAAAAACCAGCTTCCAGCTTATACTACCATTGATTGTAGAACTTTAAGTATTTACATCGTTTACCATAAAATAAACACAGAGCATAATTAGGTTTTACGAGTAACGATTACAATCAGATGTAGGATAGACCTTGTGTAAAATAAAATCATTTAAAAATTAACTTAAGGTCGACATTTTTTTTTTTTTTTTGTAAAATGGCTTTGGTCCAAGGTTTTTAGGACTTGAAATGGTTAGGTTTTCATTTTTTATTTTAAGAGGTTGGCAGCCTCAATTACCTTGCATTCAAAAACTCTACTACTGAAGCTCCAAGAAATCTGTTTTTATTTGTGTGTTTTCATCAAATTTTGTCAGGGAAGTAAGCCTGTTAACCCTGTCAATTACAAAATCCTTGGTATGAACAAAGCTAATGAAAGGTCAGGGCTGCTTTAGTTAATGTACTTCGAGGCACAAGAGGTTTTAGGTTTGTTAGGGGCCAAAGAAAGAGATAAATTACCCTGCAAGGTAGGAAGAAAGGTTCAATTATCTATCGGACCCATAGCGCATCACAAGCAAACCACAGACCTGTGAAAGGTTGTATTGTTCATTTTCAAAACCCACATCGCAGAACTGTGAAAGCTTGGGTGATGTAAGTTCAATTATATCAATTTAAGACTACAAAGACAGTTAGTCAAAGAACTTGAAAAAATTGGTTGCATCAGATAAATTACTACCACAACTCAAAATACAATAGGCTACTTTTTACTAACACAAGTGTTTTACTTTCAAAATGATTAGTTGGAACAACTAATTGAACGTAATCTAACTATTCTAGGTGTTGCTACTCTGAAGAACAGATAGATGAGTTTAAGCCGTTCCACGCCACCAGACTGTCCGAAGAAGTCCTTGAGATACATGAGCTGGAGATTGAAAAGCTGGAAAACTATTACGAAAACTGCAAGTAAGTTTTTCAATTTGAACACTTTTTATTCGCTTGTTCTCGATTTAAGATGAGAATAAATATTTTGTCTTTTTTACAGATTTAGAGTTTTTTTGGTAAAGTTATATTAAAATAAATTACAGTAGTATAGCCAGGCCTACATCAAGGTCCAATTTTTAAATGTATACAGAATGTATCTTACAGACAAATTTTATTTAATAAAATGCATAATAAAATATTTTCTTAGGTAATGGTAGTACTCATAAGTCATAACTATTGGTCCAACCGCGTGCTTGTCTACAAGTAAATGATAGCAAAAATGTAAGATTGACCTATTTTTAAAACTCAGTAATTTATTTTTGGAAAATCTTAACCGGTCATAATGTTTTGTATTACAGCAGTAAATTATTCAAATTTACTCCACTGGTTAGGGTACTTACAAAATTAATTTTGTAGAAATTTTACAAACTTATTCGTAAAATATTTTGGGAACGGTCAAATAATTAAATATTTGATTTATAGGCGGATATTTGAGTTGGCAGAAGAGCATAGAGAACTTTGGGATCTGTTGTTGCATCTAGAAGAGCAAGCCAACAACAAAGATCGTCTCTTCAATAACCGCGGGGGCTGCCTTCTAAAAGAAGAAAAAGAAAGAAAGCTGCTTCAAAAGGTATGTTATAAAAATGTATTCATAGTAAATCTCTCTGATATTAGACTACTTTCCTACTAACTAACTATTGTAACTATGAACTGTTGTACCTATTGGCAACTTACCTATTAGAAGTCCTGGATAATCTGTTACCACTTCTTGTAAGCTGGAGTTTCAACTAATCTCAAAAGCACCAATTGACAACATTACTGACCAAGAGTGTTAATTATACATGGGCTGTAAATTAATACCTCTAAGTTCTCTGTACACAAGTGAGCTAGTTTGATTCATACACCAGTACTGTTTTCTTTACTTCATCCACCACTACTACCCAGGGTGCTCACACAACGGGAACTCTGGAATGATAAAAAGTCAGTTCTGTGGACACCCTGTAGCCGGTTCCCACATCTATGTGGCAGTTAGTCTCGTCTTCGTAGCCAAAAACTAGGGGTCTGCGGGTCCCCGATTTTTTCGGGTCGGGTCGGGCCAGCGGAAGGCCCGAGAGACCGGGTCGGGTCAGAGATTTGTTCGGGCCAAGATCGGGTCGGGCCAAAAAAAATTATTATTAGGCCATTTTTAAAGTTATAATAAGTAATTTTCAAAGAAACACTCTTATATACATTATTACAGAGGAATTAAAATGTTAAAATTAGAATTAAATATTAAGTTTGCTCACGTTTAAGAACAAAGACACAACAGAGAAATTACTGCCTTACTGTCACTAGCCAGAGCCAGTCGTCTACTGACAAAACAAAAGCCGTGACGCAACAGTGCAAAGAAAACGAAGTCAAAAGAAAGACTATTTATCCAGAGGTACCAGTTTAATTACTTATTGTTTATTCCATACCTAGTTTAAATTAAATTTTAGTATTTTATTTACATAATAAATTATAAACAAAAGAAATCTGATATAGTGTACAGATCTGTATCTTGTTCTTTTATTTTCCTATTGTCCTTTTTGTCATTCAGTAACAAAACAAAACAACACTTCTGATCGTCTGGTTCGGCATTGTTTGGTCACCATTTAATTTTTTTTTTTAAGTATCAAGTACCGTATCAACAAGTCTACAAAGAGGTTAGGCCTAAATATTTTATAATTTTATGAAAGTTTTCATCAGTAAAATTATTTTTTTCTTAAGTTAGATTGAGTTTCAAAAAATATATTTCTTAGATCCAATACAATATTTACAAGACACAAACTACCATGAATTAATTTCTTTGGAAATTATCTGTAACAGTTTTATATTTTTGAATAAAGAAAATATATCTTTTAGCGAATTTCCCTATAGGGAAGTAGCTATTACCGTAGGTGGCACGGTAAGACCTAGACCCGGGACCGATTTACTTTTTCATTTTGATGTCCCCAGAGGCCAAAAACACTATTCGTTCAAATTTTTATATATGTATACATGGTGTCTACTCTCCGGGAAATTCGGGAAAACCGGGAAACCTCCGGGAATTTTATCTTACCTTGAAATGTCCTGGAAAACTCCAGGAATCCACCCAAACCTCCGGGAATCCGGAGCCCAGTCATCGGAATCGTCGCCTAACCGAAACACTACCGCTTTTGTTGCCACGATCGCGGGAAACGATTATCGGTGTTGCCGAAACCGCAAGATATGCTCACGGGTATTGCCGCGATCGCGAGTGACGATTATCGGTGTCGCTGAAACCACGAGATATGCCTACGGGTGTTGCCGCGATCGCGGAACACGATTGTCGATGTTGCTAAAACCGCAAGATATGCTCACGGGTATTGCCGCGATTGCGGGAGACGATTATCGGTGTCGCCGAAACCACGTGAGATGCCAACGGGTGTTGCCGCGATCGCGGGAAACGATTATCGGTGTTGCTAAAACCGCAAGATATGCTCACGGGTATTGCCGCGATCGCCAGAGACGATTATCGGTGTCGCCGAAACCACGTGAGATGCCTACGGGTATTGCCGCGATCGCGAGAGACGATTATCGGTGTCGCCGAAACCACGTGAGATGCCTACGGGCGTTGCCGCGATATGCGCACAGGTATTGCCGCGATCGCGGGAGACGATTATCGGTGTTGCTAAAGCCGCAAGATATGCTCACGGGTATTGCCGCGATCGCGGGAGACGATTATCGGTGTTGCCGAAACCGCAAGATATGCTCACGGGTATTGCCGCGATCGCGAGAGACGATTATCGGTGTCGCCGAAACCACGTGAGATGCCTACGGGCGTTGCCGCGATCGCGGGAAACGATCATCGGTGTTGCTAAAACCGCAAGATATGCGCACGGGTATTGCCGCGATCGCGGGAGACGATTATCGGTGTTGCTAAAGCCGCAAGATATGCTCACGGGTATTGCCGCGATCGCGGGAGACGATTATCGGTGTTGCCGAAACCGCAAGATATGCTCACGAGTATTGCCGCAATCGCGAGAGACGCGTGAGATGCCTACGGGTGTTGCCGCGATCGCGGGAAACGATTATCGGTGTTGCTAAAACCGCAAGATATGCTCAACACGGGTATTGCCGCGATCGCGAGAGACGATTATCGGTGTCGCCGAAACCACGAGATATGCCCACGGGTGTTGCCGCGATCACGGGAGACGATTATCGGTGTCGCCGAACCCGCGAGATTTCCTCACGGCTATTGCCGCGATCGCGGTAGGCGATTATCGGTGTTGCCGAAACCGCAAGATATGCCTACGGGAATTGCCGCGATCGCGAGAGACGGTTATCGGTGTCGCCCAAACCGCAAAATATGAATACGGGTCGTTGACGGTGTGACGTTTTGTCGCTGATGTTGAAGATACTGCAAGATATGCTCACTGATATTCCCACAATCGCGGGAGATGATAACTGGTGTCGCCTTACCTACCAGTTATACTGTTTTATTATGTTGTATAAAATATTATTCTTTGGAAATGTTTTGTTTCAAATAATAATAATCATTATTAATAATAATAATAGCCTAATAATAATCATTTTCATTTATTAGCTGGTTGCGATTAGTTAAACGGGTTCCGATAGTAGCTCCTTAAAATTCAGGAATTTGTCTTGAATTCTCCTGGAAAACTCCTTGAATTTTTCAAACCAGGTTTAGTAGACACCATGGTATATATATATATATAGACTTATATATATATATATATACGTCCGTGAACGCGATAACTTGAGTAATTTTTGTCCGATTTTGATGAAATTTGGTTTAAAGGTGTAAAGCGGGATAAACTTGAATGAGTTCGCGAACCAGCACGATCGGACCATGGGAACGGGGCTTTATGGGGGGTTTTATGGGGTAAAAATTGGTTTTTCTCACTTTTGACCCTCAAAACACAAAATTTCCCGATTTCTCTTTAGACCTTTTTAAAGAGCTTAAAAAAACAAATAATTTAGTATGTAAAAGTATTTTTGTTTGATTATTAGTAACGGAGAAAATAAAAAAAATTGTAAATTTAAAATTCCCATGTTAATCTTATGGAGAATATTGTCAAATGTTGTAGTTTGCTTGTTTATGGATATATTTTGATCAAACTTGGCAAATTTATTTATTTTGTACTAAGCTATCAATATTTTACTCAAAAACACACTTTATTAGTTTCCTTGTAGCAGCAAACCTAGGTACTCGTTAAACCTAATGTTATTAAAATATATTTAACTGAAAATCAATTCAGACAAATGGAAATTCGCTTGGTCGGCAGGTTTGCTGCGGCGGGGGTATTTGTCTCTACTTCCTTGTTTTGTTACTTGTATTTTGTCAGCAATTGGAACAACCGGGTGGTGTAATAGGGGCGGGGGAGGGGGAGGGTCTATGACCTTGAGTGTCCCCGGGCCTGGCTCGGGCTGTGTAAGATGGGAGGGGAGGGGAGGGGGAGGGTCTGTAACCTTGAGTGTCCCCGGGCCCGGCTGTGAGAGTGATTCATGGTTTTTTGTTTACATTCTACTACCCTTCCTTCCGAGAAAAAGACCCTACAGTTTCAAAAAACATTGACTTACAGTATAAAAACATTGACTTACAGTATAAAAACATTGAGTTGTGTTGCTAATTAGGGCACTATAATGTCTCTGCTGTCTGCTTATGTTGCCAAATTAGCATTTAACTTTCTTTTCTCTTGATTTAATATAATTTTCTATATATTAAGAGTTCCTTTTCGGGTACCTAATAATTGTGATATTGTTTGACTTGAGTTTATGGATTTTTAATTCTTTTAATTTATTAGCTAAAATCAGTTGTTTTAGGATTTTAATCTCTTGCAATACCTATAACTGTGCCTATAACTGTGTATCTATAACTGTGTATGACATGATATGCAATTTTTACAGTCTTTACTATAACACTATAACTATACCATAAACAATGTATGTGTGTTATTTATTGTTTTAGAGTTTTATAGTAAATTAGTTTACACAATATCTTTTCTTCAATGAGTTCTCCACTTGTCATGTTGCTTAGTAGGCCCTATAAAAAATAATTCCTTTGTAAAGCTGTAGGCCTACTAATGCCAATAATAGATAATTCTTTATTTATGATGATGTAACTAATAATGCTATTGTAAGTGTGAGGTTTTTGTACTTAGGAGGTTAGGAGGCAGGGAATGAATGATTCATATTGCATGGTGGAAACATAGAATTTTTATTTTCTTCTTGCTTGCAGTCTTGAAGCCAGTCCACAGGCCCTAAACTTGTGATAAGGTTAATTGATTTATTTTTATTTTCTTCTTGCTTGCAGTCTTGAAGCCAGTCCACAGGCCCTAAACTTGTGATAAGGTTAATTGATTTGTTTATGATCCATTTATATTAAGTTCCATTACAAACTTTTTGTAATATTGCTGTTTAGATATTTCAACAGTTATGAAAATGGGAAAGAATGGCTTGATAAAAAAAATTATTTTCTTCTTTCTTGCAGTTGAGGCAACTCCTAAGCTGTAAATAAGTTATGAACATTAAATAATATACATAAATACAATCTTTTTCCATATGTTATTTTCAAGTAATATTATAAACACAGATAGGAGTTAAAAAAAGAAAAAAAAATCCGGTAATTAATAATTTTTGGCCCGACCCGATTTTGGCCCGAAACCCGAGGACCAAAATTATCGGCCCGACCCGACCCGACCCGAACCAAAAAAGTCTGACCCGCAGACCCCTACCAAAAACTATGTGGAAAATCAACCTTCTGTTAAAGTATTAATTGCGTCTGTGATTAGGTTTTTGTGGAAAGGAGACAATCTAATTTTTTTATTGGATATAATATAAAGATAAATATTATTTATTCAAACAATACATAGCCAGAAGTTTTTACCTACAATAATGTTGAACTACAGGGTGCGGCAAAAGTCAGCGTACCGAAATTGCAGCTAAACTATTATTGTAAGTAACTGTTGGATAAGCTGCTCAAAGTGACCATCTGCATTGTCTATACACATGTAGTACCATTTCAAGATTGATTTGCAAATTCCTTTACATAGTTGTGGTGTGAATAGAATATCAAAATGTTCCGTTATCAATTCAACTTTGAGGTTTCTCCGAAAACACGTTTGGGAGGTTGTGTTCCAGGAAACTGTTGTTCGTATGCTGCAATAACATCCGTATAATCACGATCAAATTTCCACCAATTTTTCAAAAGAAATACTCTATAGATTGTTTAAATAAATATATAGGATGGAGAGGACACAGCTAACTCACCTGATGAAAGGTTGCAGACGAGTCAAAGAACACATAAAATCAAACACATAATAATACTTGATATTTCGCCTCTTTCAGAGGCTTCTCCAGAAGTAGGCCTAGATGGTAGTTACAAGAACAACAGTCTATAAATTGTTTGTGATTTATAATTATAAACACTGATGTATGGAAGTTAATAGAACAAGCACTACACTCACCAACTTCACTTCACAGCCACAGGCGGAATATTGGCACAAAAAACCTCGATAAAGAATAAACTAAGGCAAAATAAAACATGATTTGACATTAGACTAGATAAGGAGTGAAAGTAAGAGATAAAAGTAGCGCGAGAGATAAACAATGACGCTCACCGGGTCTGCAGCGGTACGCTGGCTTTTCCCACACCCGGTATATGGTACCATTGTACCAGTGTTTTCAAACAAAGTATTTTACAAGAAAAATTGGATTTTTAAACCATGTGTGGGATTAAAATGTGATGTGGGATGAAACAGCATTTTAGGTTCTGATGCTTTATTTATTGATAATCTTAAATTCATTGCTGTCCAGATACAAACTACATACTAACCTGAAATTATTTAAAATTTTGCAAAGTACTGTAACAATGTTAAAAGAGCTATTTTACATACATCAAAGATCACACGCGATAGAATTTGATTTGTAACATTCATTCGGGACTAAGGAGATTATTCATAAAAGCAATATAAAGCAAGATTTTCTCGACCCCTGAGCGATATCCGTGTTTTGGTTGTGTGGAAACACTGTGACATATTTTAACTTTCTAGAAAGTACCTGCTGTCAAGGCCAAGCTTATGGCACGTCTTCAGTCTTACAAGGAAGAAACTGGCCGTGACTTCTTGTACTACGGTGAGCCTCTGGAGCTCACAATTGAAATGAAGGAGCTTGAAAGAGAGAGCACCAAACAAACTGAGAGAGTTCTACGGGTAAGTGAAACATGTACAGTAGACCCCCTTTTAACCGACCCTAATGGGACCGGACCTAGGTCGTATAACTCAAAAGGTTAGTTAAAACGGGCAAACCCTAAAATCATAACATAATGAAGTGCTATTCATTTGGAATTATATACTCATTATTTTGAAGTTATACTTTTATTATTTATAAAATAAACTACTCTTATCTCCTTTTTCGTATTGATAGAAAAGTCACAAATAAACACAAAACACGGTTAAGTCAAATAGGCCTACTTTCAGTGGAATATATTGTAGTACTGTACTAGGCAAGAGTCAATAAAAATTCCTATTTTAATAACATTAGTACTGTAAAGTATTAATTATTGTTGCTTTCCAAATCCATCGTAATACAGTACAGAATATTTTGTTAAAATTAAAGATACAAGCAACCATTTTGTTACAAGACAGGATGTTTATTTATAACCTCTCACTGGAGGCTCAAGGCACCAAAACTATCTTGACCTTGGAGTTGTTAACCCCCCTTCCCTGCCCTCCCAACAAGTTGCGTTGTTTGTTTACTTCAGTGATGAGATAATCAGTTCTCAAAAACGTAAGGCACTTTACGATGTTATAAATTTGCCTCACAGATATCGGTAACAAATCAGATCAGATGTGCTCGCGCTACGAAGGATGATGACAAACTGACAACATGCTATATTTTTTGTGATCAATACAAAATAACTTATTCTTACTCGTAGTCATATCCTGTGGAGATAAGCGTATGGGTCAGTTCTCATCACCCAGCGTGGGAGCGGATGAAATGCCGAGATTCCTAGAAAGAAAGCAGCGGTTAAACCAAACTGCTTTCAAAGCAAGGTCGGTTAAAACAAACTGTATTTGTTTACAATTGAAGGCCATTCATTGCTTTAACTGGCTGTATTTGATCGAAAATTGACAATGTCATGTAGGCATGTGTTTTAAATGTGTTTAAGCTTATAGAAAGCTATAATTTTACAAGTTTTTTTACAATAGTACAGTAGAACTCCAATTTTATCTGAACTTCAACTTTCCGAATCATCTCCGATTCTCCTATTCACTTACATAAACAGTTTAAAAATCTAAAACTACAGTTGTAAGAATCATTATTCAATAAGGATGTGCTACAGAATGTTTCCTCACTGTCCTATACTCACAGATATTGTTTTTGAAACTTTTCAGAAAGCAGCAAATAATGCTGACAACTTAATGAAATCTCGAGTCGGACATCAGACCATGGCGGGAGTAAAGCGACGAGCCGCGGTGACTCCACAAGACCAAACAAAAGCAAGGAGGATTGAAACTGCATCATCGTCAAAGTCAACATCTAGTGCCTCCTCATGCAAAGGAACCTTGGTTAGTTGATTGTTGTAATGTATTTTGTTCATATGTTAATTCTTATACCCTGGAACTAAAATGATAACAAAATTTATTTAAATATCTGCTTTTCATAGTCTAATAGTTGCTTAGTGCCGCAACTAGTTTTGATTTGACCCATCAAAAAGTCATCTCCAGACTTTGGAAGATGTCATAATCACTTCTTCTGTAACTTATGCCCTTGAGTGTTTACGCTCAACCTTTGGCTACAACTAGACATTTCATCTCCATGTTGAAGTTGTTGCCAGTTTTGAATCTAAATCGTTGTAGTTTATGCGAGCCACCGACAGATTGTGGTGTAAATTACTGAATACTGTCAAATACATGAACTTTATTACCAAGTCAAACTGATCAAACAACGTATTGTGAGCTACAGCAACTATTATGATCCATCAACTATGTTTATGTTAGCAACAAAAAATAAGGTAGAAAAAAGAAATTTTGACACGCACATTCTTTGACTGACTCACTCAATTGTTCTTTTTTTTATAAAAAAATTGGCAACAGCTGGTCCATATGGGATGTCTACTTGGGTTTAAAAAATGTAAAATTGTGTATACCGTTGGTATTGTAAAATGAATAAATAAATAAATAGTATCCAATAGTCAATGGTTCAACTGGCTGACAAACAATCAAGAAAAGCACAATAGTTGTAGGCCTACTTTTTCCTCTAATTATTTTAAGAATGTTGTAAGGAGTAAATGGATGACTTTCTGAAGAAGTGATTATGACATCCTCCAAAGTCTGGAGATGACTTTTTGACTGCAGAATAGAACTGAAAGAAAATCACAATTGCAATAAAATACTCCTGCGGCAGCAATTATATAACATTTTCCCAAAATCTATTGTATAAGAAATTACTATTTGATAGAATTTTAGTAACAAATTTGTTTGGTTTCTAGGTACGCAAAGAAGAGAACACAGCGGGAGTAAGAGCCTACCTCACTACTCCAACTCCGAGAAAAAACCGAATGCCAGCCGCGAGCACTCCACAAAACGGTAGTCTGTCATATGAGTCGTTTCAGGTGGGCGTGTTAACTAACAGGAGACATGTGATTGAAAAATATGAAATGGTGGAAGCTATTTGTATATTAGTGGTTCATCTTTATCAGAAGTTCCTATAGCGTCACATTTTTCTAATGTCCTATCTTTAACAGTCCTGCTCTTCTAACTATCCATTCTGGAATCTGGCATTAGGTACATAACCAAATGTACAACAACTACTTTAGATAACCTACAGGGTATCTACTTAATAGGGTTGTCAGCGACCGAGAAAATCGGGAATTATGCGTGAATTTTAACCGCCGTCAAAAACCGGGATATATGCATAAAAATGGTTTTACTCGGGGATTTTCTGTGAATTTCAACTATTATCATTATGTTAGTTTATTTATTCGTTTGGCAATCCCACAATACCCTGGTTCCAAACTCCTAAGTACTATTCCCTTGGTACATTACACATGGCAGCCAACATCTCTCAATTCTCGCATTCAGTGATACCACAGAGAGTTATATTGTTTGGTGATTCCTTCGGTTGCGTTGTAGCTTTAGTTCAATGCTCAACTATCACAATAAGTATTTTTCTGCGTTCGTGTAGCAAGCAATGGCGGAACTGTTCAGTAGAGTGTAGACACTAGACAGACGACACGACGACATGATGACAATACGATTCCCAATCGACTGTGGATTGAATTGATGTTTTAGATTTGTCTTTTAGTTTGGTTAAATTTGGGAAATACATAATTTTAATTGTAATAATTATTGGTTTTTTTACCGGTTTACACTTAATCATAAGTAACTATCGGCCAATATAACGCGAAAATCGTTATGTTCCGGAGTTCGAAACTGCTTCAGGAGGTCTAGCTCATTAGTAAGTTTATACACTGCACAATGTTAAACTCATTAATGTTAATTTTTATCATTAATTTGCAGTGTTTTTTAAGTGAATAAGAGTTAATTTGCCTTAAGGGCTAATAAACGTATGTCGGTTTTCAATTATTTACCAATATCCATTATTTTAATTTGTTTTTAAAACTTTTATTGGGCTTTTCTTATTAGTAGCCTATATTAGCCGCCGGGAATTTTGTACTTTTTAGCTGGGAAAGCCGGGAATAATGTGTGAATTTTGTTTATAGATTCTGCTGACAACCCTGCTTAACCTAGATTAAGTCATGGAGTTTGTGGTTAAACGTAAGGAAGATTCTTTGATACCGGAGGTATCACTTATTCAAATGTCGCTAGAAGAGCAGTAATAAAAGTTTTCAGAATTTTTTGTCCAATAAAATTGTACTCCTATAAATGTGCATGTTATAACATTCAGTGTGCTTTGTGTTTTGGTGCTTAAAAAGTCGGAATAATTTTGTTTAGTTTAGGGCCTTTTTGTAAAACTGGGGTGTAACTAAACTATAATTTTTACTGTACCTTCAATTGACATTGTAACATTCCTAATAGGGATGGACGAGATTGGATTTTTAGTTCGAGCCGAGACGAGACGAGATTTTTTATTTCTCATAAAATTTCGAGACGAGATTTCTCTTCTCATACACAACGGGAAATGCACGTTCAAAATTTTTACCTGATTTTGTAACATTGTTAGATGACTGTTTAAATACTAAAATAATGATAATAGGCAAGAATATTTACAATCTTTCATTAAATAACATCAGCATAACATTTTTTTATTAATCACGCCTAACTTATTAAAAATGCCTACGATTAGGAAACATGGTGATATCAGTTAGGATAGAGTTCAACTTATCCTAAAATAAAATAAATCATAAAATAAAAGCAATATTAATTTTTATAAAATAGTTACTTGTTTTGACTTTTTTTATAGTAATAAAACATTCTTCACACTGCTTACACTTAACAAAACTTCTCAAATGTTATTAAAGTAATATTATTAAAATAATGAAAGTAATATTTACATTAAAAGAATTAAAGTAATATTTACATTAAAAGAATTAATTAAATAAGAACGCCTTCGAAAAGGAAACGCAACTACAACACGCTCCTGTATTGCGGGTATTGCATTGACTTTCTGCAGGCGTTTTTAATTTTTTTTATTTTTTTTTTTTTATTCTCGTCTCGATAAAAATCTCGGCCAAAAAGTAATCTCGTCTCGTGTAACGAGATTGAAAATTTCCCGAAATTTCGAGACTTGACCATCCCTAATTCCTAATATTTTTTTTCACTGTGGATCTTGGTGTGTGTAAATAGTACCTGTGCAATATTTATCGATCAAAGTCCTGCTGCACAACTAATAAGGCCAAAGTGTGGACCACCTTGAAAGTGTTATACAAATAATAAATCGTAGAAATTAAAAGTCTGGTTTTTTTCAAAGTTTCTTCAATCTCTAGTGATTTCTTTTTCATTATGCTTAGTGGCCCAGGATCACTTATAGAATAAAATGGTTTATATTACCTGTCCGTCAGTGATCCTATTGTTGTCGTCTTATGCGACCGGTTTCCGGATTTAAATCCGATCATCAGGCTGTTAAAAATGTCATGTCACTCAAATTGAGGTCATCGGTAAACACAAAAATACACACATACAACCAACAACCTCGCAGACAGTAACCATAATTATTCCAGCCTTGACAATAACCTACTCATTTTACATAGTTACCCTAAAAAAGGACAGTTTTTAGATTGTTTAGAAGAATTCAAGATCTACCCATCAAGAATGAGCCACAACACATTTTAAATGAACAGACCTCTTTCAAGTCGAACATTATCTATGACGCAGCGATTAGAATAGGACAAAAATACTACCGGCATTCCATAAATAACGGGAGAGGAGCAAGGACACCCTCAGTCATGACCACGCAACTACCCGTGCCGCGTCGTAGTGTCCTGTACTGGCCAGTTGCAATGTTATTCCGTATTTTCGTGTTTCGTATTGTATGTGTGTTTTTTGTGTTTACCGACGACCTCAATTTGAGTGACATGACATTTTTAACAGTCTGATGATGGGATTTTAATCCTGAAACCGGTCGCACAAGACGACAACAATAGGATCACTGACGTACAGGTAATATAAACCATTTTAGTGATTTAGTGATTGTAAAACTATTTGTTGTTACATGTAAATGATTTAAAACACTTACTTACTCCCAACGCCATATATATAGATATTTCACCGCACCAATCATACCCCTCTCGATCCAAGTCTTCGTTAGTTGCTCCTGTTCTTTCTATATCAACTGTCACTTGGCTCCACCATTTTTGCCGTACACTTCCCTTGGTCATCTTCCTTCAGGGTTCCTTTTAATACTTGTTTGATATTATTGTCATATTTCTTCTCAAAACATGAAATTGTTTACCCAAAGTAAAAAAAAGCAGTTTTTTAACTTGTTCCTTCACGAACAATAGTGAATTGGTTTTCCAGCTCTGAGACAGTGATTGGCACAGATATCAGGGTTGGTCTTTGGACTAAACCAAATACAGGTTTTTAACAACCAAATTAAGTAAGCATGGTTACCTCATCCAACTATGTTTAAAGACTGTTTAGGCCTAAAATGAGTTCTATGCGTTGATTTTAGATTTGATTAAAAGTTGATCAAAGAATTGTTTTTTTTTTGTTGCAGGAGCATATTGAGAAATCTAAATATGCGGCGCACAACTCAACGAGATGTGAGCGTCAAAGAGCTTTAAGACCAAAAAATCTCAACCAGACTCGAACAGTTGTGGAAAAAACAACCCCTTTCCGAACTCCAAAAACTCCGGGAAGGACTTTCACAAAAACTCCCACGAAAACACCCTCCAAGATCCCGTTCAGGATTCCAACAGGGTCAAAAATTCCCAGTCAAGTTCCCCCGGTGAGTCCCCGAAGAAAGCCAGCTTTGTCCACAACCAAACTTCCAATCATATTTTGAAGTTTCAAAAACTTCATCTTGTCAACAAATCATGATACAAATCTAGATACAAATGCTGCTGAAATATTCAAGGTTATGTTTTTAGGAAAAAGCATTTAGCTTGGATTAAATTAAATAAATATATAGGATGGAGAGGACACAGCTAACTCACCTGATGAAAGGTTGCAGACGAGTCAAAGAACACATAAAACACACACATAATAATACTTGATATTTTGCCTCTTTCAGAGGCTTCTTCAGAAGTAGGCCTAGATGGCAGTTACAAGAACAACAGTTTTAACTGTTGTTAACAGTTGTTCTTGTAACTGCCATCTAGGCCTACTTCTGAAGAAGCCTCTGAAAGAGGCGAAATATCAAGTATTATTATGTGTGTGTTTTATGTGTTCTTTGACTCGTCTGCAACCTTTCATCAGGTGAGTTAGCTGTGTCCTCTCCATCCTATATATTTGCTGAAATATTCATAATTTTTACTCTGTAGTAACAATAATTTTATTTATATAGATGTATTGTGCAATAAGGTTTACAATAATTCTTTGTTTTTATTTTCTTGACTACAAATAATTGTTTAAAATATTTTACTGTAATTGATGCAACATATTGTAATGTATTGTTATATGAATTGTAAAATGTGTTTATTGTAGGTACTATTTTTGTGTTTGTCAACTATGTTGTCAGCAATGTATTTGTTTAAAAGAAACTGTGTGTATTTTAAACAAAAAACAATGTATTTGTTGTAAGAAACTGTATTGTAATACTGTATTGCAGTATCGAGTCCTGTGTACTATCCTTCTTTGTACTGTCGTGTTAGTATTATTAATATTGTAAAGAATGTAAATAATAGAATATAGTTATCATTGTTTTTATACACATAAATTTAATTTAGAATAGAAATAAAAGCTATGAACAACGTTGATAACATTTTTTTTTTTTGCCCATTTATTACAAATATACTATTTTAGTCTGGTTTTTCTAGCTGCTGAATACATTTGTTTTTTCGGCACCAACTCAACACACAAAGATCAAGGACAGGAATTTTCCTTGTAGCCGAGTTTGACAACGAAAACTTAATAGTGCATTAAAAGTGTCGCACGACATTCAAACAACCATGCAGCTGAATTCGGCAGCTAGGAAACCCCACATGTATTCTTTGTTTGAAGTTCATTTTCGATGATGGTGGATTTATGGTGTTGAGGGAATATTGCGGACATTTTCCATTACGATAAGTAAAAATAAAAGTACCTAACATAACAAGATTAGTAACAACCCCTAAGGTAAATTTGGAAAATCACATAGAATAACCACTCAGAAAACGGTATAGTAGTAGAACAACATGAAAAAATCAAAATCAAATCTGAAAAAATACTATAGACAGACAAAGGTTGGCACAAACAAAATGGGCTCATCTTCACAAGATGGCGGCTCAAGCTTATCTCGTTATATTCATTTTTAGTTGCTGCTCTGTTGAAATATCCTATAGGGATTAATATTGCTAACGCATGTCAAACTCTTTTTACTATTTAAATCTTTATGTTATGTTTCTTGCAGAAAATAATCCATAACTACAGATTCACTAAACTCAATTTGTAGATGTTTTTAGACAGCTGATATTGTTGGTTCCAAATAATCGTGTATGGTAACATAATACAGTAGACTCGCTCTTATCCGGACTCCTCGGAGCCGAGGCCAGTCTGGATAACGGATTTTGCGGTTAAACCGACGTCCCAAAAAATCGTTAAAACAGACCGTTTAAATGCGTACTAAAGTATAATATTTGTAATTTAAAACCTATTATATTGAACGAAAAAATAGTAAATAAACACTTCTGAATAGAATAACATTGCCAAGTTTTTGCCGCGGACTTATATTTGACGTAAACTCGATACTTTTTTGTTTCAATGTGTAATGACAATGTATCTTACAATATAGGTAACAAGAAAGTAAAGAAAAAGTACACGTTAACGTCAAACATCTGCGGTAAAGACTGGAAAATGTAGTTGTGTTTTAATGAGTTCAAATGGGTTATTTTCTGCAAGAAAATAAACAGACATAAAGTTTAGATTGGTAAAAAGAGTTTGGCATGCATTAGCAATATTTTATATCTATATATTTCAAGAGGGCAGCAACTTAAATAGATGCGTTTTATAATGGTGAGTGTATGGGCTGCGTCGGCTACTGCCAGTAGATGGGGGGAGCTAGACCGAAAACAGCACCCGCAGTGCTACTGAGAGCACAATCCAATAGTTCTTTACATCGTTTCTTTGGAACTGTTCTAGATTGTTCAACATGACACCTTTTTCCTAATCCGTTTTATACTGGATGATAGAGCAAGCTACTGTAACAACTACAACTGTCTTCTCCCTTAATTTTTGATACTATAATAGAAGATTATTTTCCATGAAATAATGGAAAATAGTATTATAAAATACCCCCACTGCAGCAAACCTGCCGACTTAGCGAATTTCCATTTGCCTGGATTGATTTTTAATTATTAATCTATTAAATTTACATTTATGTTTAACAAGTACCTAGTTTAACTGCTACAGGGAAACTACCTAATAAAGTGTGTTTTTTATTAAAATATCAATAGCTTAGTATAAAAAAAATGAAAACGCCAAGTTTGATCAAAATTTATCCATAAACAAGCCAACTACAACATAATTATTATAATATTCTCCATAAGAATAACATGAGAATTTTAAATTAACAATTTTTTTGAATTTTCTCTGTAACAAATTATCTTACAAAAACACTTTGATATACTAAATTATTTGTTTTTTAAGCTCTTTAAAAAGGTCGTGTGTTTTAAGGGTAAAAAAATGAGAAAACCCCCCATTCTCATGGTCCGATCATGCCGAACTCATTCAAGTTTATCCCGTCTTGCACCATCAAACCAAATTTTATCAAAATCGGACAAAAATTACTCAAGTTATTGTGCGGATGGACACACACATATATATATATATACATATAACAAATTTGAACGAATGGTGTTTTTGGCCTCTAGGGACATTAAAATGAAAAAGTAAATCGGTCCCGGGCCTAGGTCTTACCATGAGAGCTACGGTAATAGCTACTTCCCTACAGGGAAATTCGCTAAAAATGACTCAACATTTTTTATAACAATTAAGTATATTATGAAATTAAAAAAAAAAAATTAAATGGTACCTTCAACTTCAACTCTCAATGCTGTAAAAATTACAGTTAAAAATTAATACCAATTGTGATTTTACCTATAAAATATTATAGTTACTCCCACCACCTACCCATGATAAGGTTTTTTGGAAGCTAATGGGAGAAATCAGTTTGCTGATAACGTTTATTTTTTAATCTCAGGAAAATATCTGCAAAATTTGAATTTGTTTTTTGGGTAAATAATGGACAAATAAATCAATATGTTTTTCTACAGTCACCAGACAAAGTGGGCTTCCTTGCTCAGATCATAGTACAGAAAGCCTTACTTTGGCGCACACCAGTATTCCAACCAAAACAACACAAAACAGCTTGCCTTTATTATGCACGTAATCCGTGTTCGCTTGAAAATAAGTTGGCAACCCTTATTATCTTGTACAGTTTGAGAGACAACCTAATTATTTATACTTAAATTCTTTTCATTGAAATGGCGACCATACTGTAGGAAAAATATAATGTATAACATGAGTGAAAACTGCCTTTGCTGCACGTTAACATTTCTCTCCTTCGCCCACTAGTTACACAAATAACTATTGACTTTTCATTAAACCCTTTAAAATATTAATTTGAAGTACATTTTTTATATTGTATGTGTGTTTGTATTACAAATTGAAACTTATTTTTTCTGAATATCTTTGACACAGGTACCGTACATGAATTAAGGCAGGCTTTTGTTTGTATGTTAAAATATGCAGAGCGCAGAGCCCTTTCACCACCTATAAATGATCACCTGCCGCTACTGGCTAAAATAACAAATAGTGGTTCTCAATAGGCCTATGTTGCAACGTTCAATTGGAAATATTTTCAGACCAGAATATAGACAAGCATTTTTAGGTACAAATGTACAAACAATGTACAAATCATTTAAAAATAATTAATTGACTTTCTCAAAGCAAAGCTTGGTTCTCCTAATGTGCTAGGTAAGTATCAGCTGGTTGCTAGGTAAGTATGGATGTAACAGCTGAGCAAAAAGTCAAAACATTTGAACTGTTTGAATGTAATTTATATTAACTAAGAAATCTTTCTTGAAATCCTTGATTTCCATAATTCTTTATAAATGGAATATGTATTTTCCTTGTGATATTTCAAAATTATCTCAAGACAAAATTGTTTGGCTGCACTTTACTTTAGGTCCTACACTCATTCGAATAAAAAAATATCGATCGATATATCGATTAATCGATTGTTTCATTCGAATGAGTGTATATGTTGTGTATTCACATGGGTTAATTTATTAGTTTACAGTTTGAGTCCGTTTATAATGGACTATATTGCGGAGCAGGGAGCTCAGCCAAAAGTTAATAGTTTTTAATTTTGAGATTTTGTAACATTGTATCCAGTGCCAAATACGGTTTGAGGTAATTCTGGAAACCAGCATTTGCGTCACAAGCCCCCACCACTCTTGAGGTTAGATATGGTCGGTCCTTGTGAACCACCAACTTACAGTCAGAATCCGTCTTCGCCTGGACCAGACAACAACTAGCTGGTCATGATTCTCTTGCTGATATTAGCAGGTATGTGGTGATAGGCTAATAGGAGATTTACATTGCCCGACCCTTGGTTCAGTAGTAGGTAGCCCTCCTTCTAAATTATACCCTTTAATAATGGGGGATTTCTCTGTGATATTAGCGTAGTCATGTATTAGTAAGGTATTATAATTTGTATTTCATTGCTCATCCGCTTAATAAATGAACCCAATTAATTTACGCCCGAGTATTTATTCTGGACACCCCACCCACTAGCGGATACAACATATAGGACCTAAAGTAAAGTGCAGCCAATTGTTTGAAAGGTACACATTGTAAAAATTGGTTGACAAGTGGAATGATGACAAATAAAGAGTGATCTTATAAGTTCAGTTAAATAGCTGAGTTTTTGGGCCCCTCTCAAAAACTAAATTTGAAAACCAACTAATCAATACCAAATGTACATATTTCATTAAACCGGCAAATTGGGTCTCCTAAACGAGGGCATAATTTTGGCCAAATCCAACATG